GGCGACACCGGCTCCGCATCGTGCCCCCAGCGTGCCCCCGCCGCTGCGCCGGGCTTTCCCCGCCGGCCGCCGGACCGCGGGGCGCCGGCGAGAGCCCGCGGGCGGCGCTGGAGCGGCCGCGTTTCCCCCGGCGATGGGTGTGAGCGCGGAGCCGCGGCCGCCTGGCTCCCGCTAGAGAGCTCGGCGGAGATGGGGCGCGGGGCGGCGGTGAGGGCCACCCCTGAACAGGCCTTTGCGCCCTCMGGGGACGGTCCCTCCCCCGGGTGGCCTTGTCCCCGGTGGCGATGGACCGCCCGCAGCCCCGGCAGCGCTGCTGTTCCGCAACAGGCTGGTCCCGCCCGCAGCGCCAGCGCATCCTGCCCCGCAACGGGCTCAGTGGTTGTAGTGCAAAGATCCTWACAGAAGGACAGAAATCTAACCAAGATTTCTATGATGAGAGAAAAAGGAGTGCTCTGTGATTGTTGGGTGACYGCAGGACTTGGAGAGGCCCGCTCTTGTCAAGCACTCTTGCCTGTTCACCTTTTGTGGCTTATCTAAGTCCTTCCCAAAAGTGCACGTAAACAGGTGAACTCGGATGGATGCAGAATTTCTGGGCGTTTGACTTAACCATAGCCTCCTAAACATTCATGTGGGAAAGCTACATACATGTTAATAGTTTGTAATGTGCACTGGKAATGTTTCAGTGTGCTTGGGAGATGAAATGGCAGAGATAGGAAGGTAGCATGTGAAGTAGGAATTGCAGTGGGAGCGTATTCCAGGATGTTGTGGTTTCTGTAAAAGCCAGAGCTGGAAAGAATGGATATTTTGTAACTATCACATCCTTCTTGCATCTGCTCCCAGACTCAGAGGAGCTGTCCTGCGTATTGGTGCGTTGTCGTGTTCATTCACACTTGTCTTCTCTGGTTTGTTTCACAAGCCCTCTTGTTGGCTTTTGTTTTGTTTTGTTTTCCTCAAAACTAGTAAACATTCACAAATGTGCTTGTAAGGTGTCAGACATTATGCCAGTGTCTGTTGGCTTTTCTCTTTTGACTTCGTATGCTATGGATGAGCTGCGTGCTGACATGGAGCTTGGGGCACAACCACTGCAGGCATTGTCTGGGGGACAAAGAAGAGTTACAATATTCTGTGCCCATAGCAACCTTCCAGAGCGATCTGGAAATGCAAAAATAATTAACGTATCTTCTTTCCCTAAGGTTTTAATTCCTAACTGACAGTAATARAGATTAGTTGAGAAATTGAGATCATAAGCAGATTGCTGATGGTTGTCAAGAGCTGAGTTGCGGTTGCTAGCTCCTGTGACTCTGATAGTTGTTATACCTACTAACGATTATATTGCCTACAAATTGAGTCTGGGATTTATATTCCAAAACCTGGTTCAATAAATCAAAAACATTTTAGAWGTCTAGATATGTGCAAAAGGGCCAAAATATGTTTTCAGTGCAGGGAAGGGAAGGAAGTCCCCATCCTCAAAAACAGTGTCAGGTTGAACAGGTCTTTGAGCAACCTAATCTGGTTGAAGATGTCCTGCTAATTGCAGGGGGTTTGGACTAGATGACCTTTAAAGGCCCCTTTCTAACACAAATCATTCTATGATTTCAAGCTGCATTTAGATGGTCCAGAAAACAAGGTATGGCTTTCCAAATGATACAACTCTAKGTTGCCTTTGCTTGGAGAATGTCACCTAAAGAAGGATTCTAAAAGAAAGTAAAACTGTTGAGGAGACTTGAAAAGTGATCTTCTGGTGAGTCTTATAGACACGAATCTGATTACTAACCCACAAAATATTAGTGTACTTTCAATGCTAACAGTTCTTAGATACAATGTTTGCAAACTGGACAAAAATCAGGCCAACATAAATGGGCTATTTCATTGACACACTTCTGGTGATTTCATTTGAACTTTCTATGGTGTGAAATAAAGTTCATTTCAAGTGATTGTTTAATGCAATGAGGAAAGTACTGCTGGTTTACTTGCTTTCAAGCCCATGATATTCTGTGCTACAGGCATATTATCTTAAATGAAAGAAAATGACACAGCACTACACCCAGTATCCACTGGAGATACCAGTGGGTAAAATGTGATCAATCTGCACATAACTTGTACACTTAGGAGTTATTTGTGTTGTAGTTCTAACCGTGTTATAGCAGTCACTGCTATCAGCCTCATTTTTATTTTGAGGAATTGGTGACCTGAGCTGTGCTAAGCCATGACATAATGGGAGAAAGAAAACTAAATTACTAGGGAGAGAGATGAAAAACTTCTGAGGGGAGTGCTGTTATAAAGCACTAACTTTTTACAAATGCTAAGTGCAGCAGGTACATACATTTACAAGTACAGTTCCCAATTCATACTGAAAGGCCAGCAGCTAATTTAATTTTATTTTCACCACAAAAAAGCTCATAGTTAGGTGTAGAATGCCACTTGTGACTCCAACAACTTCATCACATGATCAAGGGTCAGAGACTTTGCTGATGCTCTGAAACCCTCAGGAARGGAAATTTACACTAGAATATAGGACACTTTTTCACTGCCATGGTTAGGAAATTAATTTTCTTGAACAATRTTAAGGAGGATGATTCTAGTTCTCATTGTGCAGTAGAGTTTTCTCTACTTAGAGAATTTTTCTTGTGCTTAGTCTCATGACCCAGTGAATCACTTTTACCTGGTAGACCCAAAGGCTGCTGGAGTCAGCTCGTTCTTTCCACTTGGCAAGAAGATGGTAGTGCTTATAGATAGCAGGTGGAATCTCAGCAGGGCAACTCTGGTTTCACTTTGATGAGACATCCTGCCACCTGTCTCAGGAGTTTCTCTGAGTAGTAACTTGAGTTAAAATGGAATATAAAGGTATTTTGACGTTTTCCCCCAAATACATGAACACCTACTGAAGTTCACGTTTAAACCTCCTTAGAAACAAAATTTCACTTTTGTAAACATTTTTTTTCTCTGCAATGTTACTTGTATTCTTCACTGTCACTGAACCCCAGAGCCATAAAGCAGTTTTAGTGGATAATAACAACTCCCCCCCCCCTCCAAAAATACCTTAAATCCTTATTCCTTTATATGAAATGTACCCTCATCCCATTTGTATGCTGTTCCCAAAAACTTTACAAGCAAATTTTGTTTTTAGCTATCACAGTAGTGAAAGTAAACTTGAATGAAAGAAACACCCAAGCTGGAAGGGATGTTAAAAAGTACTTCTCAAATTATTTTGGGTTTTTTTATTAAGCATCAGTTTGGGGCTTTCTTAATCTTAGCTTTTCTGGACCCATATTATTTATTGCAGTATGACTGTACCTTGGAAATACTTCACTTATAAAGACTTCCAGTATTCCAGGTGACACCAGAATTAAAACACACACTTGTCTGAATCCTCCCATATGCAGTTTGGTGCTGCAAATTTGCTTTACATCATACCAACTATTTTATATTATCTGTTGCAGACCACTCTAAAATGGTAGAATTCAAGTACTACTAAAATTAAAATCAGAACAAGAGAGGCTTACAGGCATTTGTTTCTGTGCTGACTACAAAGAATAATACAGTTTATACATAATTTATCCAAGCTTTGTTTTGTCATATGAAGTAGGAAGAAGACATGGGTAGGAACAGCTCAAGAACCGGTATTTTAAGAAACAAATTTAGAAATTACATTTGAAAAAAAAAATTGAACTGGAGTGGAAGGGTCTTGTGCTTTTGTCTCTCTCAAATAAACACTATATATACTGGGGAGGAGGATGAGTTGGGGAAAAATACAAAAATCTAAATCAGTTAATTTTTGCTCTATGTAGAAGTCAACATGCTATGTGTACACAGATACTGTACCAGTCAGGAAACTGCAGAAATACAACTCTAACATAAAAATTACAGAAGACATGTCACAAGGGTTAAAAGAAATTCTAGACACACTAGGGATGAGATTAGAGAAACTGCCAATGTTACATAAAATTAAAAAAAAAGTCTTAGAATATTACCATTAATTTAATATCAAACCAAATTTCTTAAATTCTAAAGAACATTTTAGAAGWTCCATCAAATGCTTCTTTTCTAGCCCTCTGATTTTTTTCCTGCTTTTTCCACTGGTTTGAAATCAGATCTTGTACTTGTTCAGTCTCAGCTTCAGGTAGAAACAAATTTCAAATACTTTAAA